CAGCGGACCCTGCCTGGGTGACAAAGGAGGGCACTGTGTGTCTGAGTGGGATGGTTATATGTGTCTCTGCCCAGATGGGTATGGAGGACGCAATTGCCAAGAAGGTAATTCTGTTAAAGCATCGTGACTTTTATGTTGCAACTTCAGCTGCAGGTACAAATATTAAACCCACCCTTTGAGTTTTCAATATGGCGTATGCCCTTAATAAGGTTAGAGCGGAACCAAGAGAGAGGTGCAATTTCCTAGCAACGGAGGCCCCTTTGTTGGGAACTGCACTTTGCTGGTTCACCAACAACTTCGAGATGCTCATGTTACCGTTGCATGGCTACCAACCTAAGGAGCACTCCCCACCAGCATGGCTCTTTTCAGCCGATGAGGGGATGCTTCTGCTCTAGACAGATACCCTTAAGCCTGATACTTTACAGTAATTAGCTTTCCCTGTCAAGACATAAGTGAGTTTTTATCATCTTTGTGAGTGCTGCTTGAGCTCGCCTTTTGAGTCATGAAATTCTGTGAAATGTGTGAGAAAATATCTATAATCTGGAAGTATTCAGAACTGTCTTTCCTCAGAAAGTGTTATCAAAGACCTTATTTTGGCAACAGTAGGTTATACCTTGTAAGCAAACTTTCATTGCTTTGCTCTTTCCCATATTGAACATTCCTTTGATGAATGATTCTGTTTGTAGCACCAATATCTGTCATTTCTAAAATCTGTATATTTTGAAGGGTTTTAAAAACTGAGCTGACTGAGGGAGTATCATTCACTTTCTTAATTACAGATCTCTCAGATGTGATGACTTTCCAAGGCAATGGCCTCTTGACCTTTGAAGCTTTAACCTCTCCTGCCAGCATACCATGGCTGAACCGTGTGGTGTTCCGTACCAGAGACTTTAACGGAGTCCTGATGAACATTCAGCTCTCGTCTTCACTCAGCATACATATTGAGGTGAGATTATATTCAGTGGGAAGGAAGAGAAATGGTGGACTAGTATAATTAGTTCCTTTTCACTAAGCTTTCACTGTTCCTTTACATTCTTTGCTGTGTTGAAAACACCATCAGTTGAGTAA